CTGTATCAAGTGTAATATGATCTAACAAAAGATTTCTATACTGGTTAATGCAAAGAGTATCTCCCCGCACCCCCCCCCCCCCACCCCCCCACCCCCATCTGCGCGGCTACCTGGTCCCCCTCTGAAGACAGAAGCTAGCTGATATTTGGTCGTTTGTCCTGACACGTGCTGTTGGTGAACTGAATGTTTGTAGCCAGTTTATGAAGACGTTCCCAAAACCAAATTTATGTAAAGATGCAAATAAGAACTTCCAGTTAACTCTATCAAAAGCCTTTTCTGCATCTAGAGATAGTATACTAGTTTCTATATTTCTGCTGTAAGAGAAATCTTTTGAGACTTTAAAGCAATCTTTCAGCTCTTCCTAGGGAGAACTTTTCATCCTTAAATGCTCATTAATTCTTGGCTTTGGATATTTAAATTAGACAATTTAACCATCAGTGAATTTATAAGTTGTTTTTAAAAGATTAACTCTAATAGGGTTAGACAAATTCGTGCAGAAGTGCGGAAAAAAACCATGCACTGGATGTGCATATTTTATATTCATCTGCCATTTTAAACATAAATCTGGAACTTTAATTGCTAAAAATACAATTAAAAAAACAAATAACATATTATGAAGCACTCTGTGCCTCGTTTACCTGTGTGTGTACAGGTGCCATGAATAGAGGTCAGCAGTGATGCTTTTATGGGCCAACATTCAACGGCAAATATTTTTTACACTGTTTTGACATGTGGGAGGACATCGGGAAAGCAATAACTGCCTAAGCATTGGTGATGTGCTGCCTTGTTATTATGTGGACAATACAGCACATCATCTCTGCAACAAAAGACGCCACAGAGCAACGGATGCAGAGTGACGGCTGATCTTGCTGCGACTTCGTTGTCGGAAGCTGACGCTGCTTCAGATGAGGCCCGGGGAGGAGAGATGCCTTTTCTCACTGGCTCTTTTCTTTTCCTCCCACGCATTTTCAAGTGGGAGAGGCTAAGACAAAAGAAGAAAGGAAAGACGTAACATTACCACAGTGGAAGAGCTGACTCTGATTCTCACACCTGAAGATTCTGATCTCTTAAAATGATTTCAATGAGAATCTTGGTAAATTTTAACAACCGTGGTGTAATTTCAACCTTTCGGGCCGTTTAATATCGCAGCCTCGTCTCGGTTTGCCCTTTGAGCATCTCTGACTTTCACTGCTGGTTTTTTATGACATGAAGGATGTGAAATGTTGGGGCTTTTTGAACCCTTTGTGTGTCCAGAAACACAAAACCATACAATACACAATAGATGAGCTGCTGCCAACGTAACGCCAACGCTCACCAACTGGACACCGTTTCCTGGACAGTTGATTCAAAAAGGAAAAGAAAACAGCTTCAATAATCATTGGAGAGAAGAGGGTTTAGATAAAAGGGCTTGTGGGTTGTACACTTGAATAATGGGCTGAAGTACCTTTCAAAACGACAGCTTGAAAAATAAAACATTTTCTATGTGATTTAGAAGACAGCAAATGTCAGGCTGTTTTGGTAAGGGCTATCTGAACTCTTCTGGAAAAATCAACTTTTGAGACAGAAAAAAATTACTAAAAATTACAGATCTTGTATTTTTTAATTAAACAAATATTTCATGCTTTCTTTTCATGCTCATTATTTTAGATGCATTTCCATTTAGAAGAATCACGTGATAGAATAGTATCTTAACTAAAACTATACGAGGACGAAATAATTGCAAAACAATGATGTTTTAAATCAAATCAATATGAAACCAAACTTCAGGGTTCATCCAACATGTGCACATATTTTTGGATTCCAGCAACTGGCAGCATCTTAGTGAGTCAATTTATTTACGTTAGCTCCATGAAATCTCTCTAACTTGTGTGTCATCAGCATATACGAGCCTATGCAATAATTTCACTAATAATTTCGAAGGAAGAGTTCCTTGGAGGTGAAGGTGGTAGAGATGTTTTCTCACAGCAACTAAGTTACAGGTTCACCACCCAGCTCTGGTCTTTCGGCATGTTTTCTCATGCCTGAGCTTTCTCAGGTTGCTTCACTGGTGACTCTTGTCACCAAGTGGGATTAAGTGTGTAAATGGTTGTCTCAGTTGTGTGTGTGATGGACCATAGACCTGTCCAGGTTGTCCCCTGGCTCTTGCCCTGATTACTGGAGCTAGACAGTTATTTTGTACAATCTCACTGGCTAGCAAAAAACAGCAGCATTTTGTAAATATCCAAATCCAGTAAACGGGAGCAAATGAGAAATTACGGCGTTAGCATCTTTTTTGTTTTACTCTAATATCTGCCACTGAAGGCTAGAAGCTAACATTGAGCAAACAACAATTTATTATCTCTAAAAATATCTCAAACTACTTTATTGATTACCAACAACTCAATATTACAGTAAAATGTATTTATGACTGCTAAATTGCCTTTATTTATATAGCACCTTCTATGGTTCTACAACTGCCCAAGGTACTTTATCAGCCATCCATACATTGACACGCTGGTGGTGATAAGCTGCTATCAAAGCATCCATACCTGCCCTGGGGTGCACTGACAAAAATCTACCAACTTACTGTGTATGACTTGCCTTTGTTTATCATCTAGAGCAGGGCTATTCAATTCCAGGCCTGGAGCACCTGTATCCGGCATGTTTTAATGGGTTCTCTGCTCCAACACACTAGATTCAGAAGTTGAATCACCCGTGGAGCAGCTCATCAGGCTCTGCAGAAGCCTGTTAATCACCTAATTGAAATCAGGTGTGTTGAAGCAGGGTTGAAACCAAAACGTGCTGGATACCGGCTGTAGAGAAGATGTTCTTACATTTAGTTAGAAACCATAGAATGTGAAATATCATAAAATATGAAATATCACCTTAATGGAGCTTTGAATAAATTTAACCAGAAGATCAGATCTTTTTATTGCAGGGATTGAGCAACACTTCGTATCAACTCCAAGAAAGAGAGAGAGAGTCAGGTTTAAAAAGTTAAAAGATTTATTTCTAAACAAATTAAACAAGACTAACTTTAAACACTATGTGATGATGAACTAAGGTGGAGTAAGACTGAGGATGGTGTGTGTGTGTGAAATATGTTCAGAACCAGCAAATCCGGAGAGACTATTAGTTCTGATGGGAGTGAAATGGTGTTTCGCTCTAAGCTTTGGTTGGAGATTATAACACACATTGAGGCGCCATCTGTCGGTCTACGTACCCCAACGGAAATCCCCGTTTAGATCCGGAATGTCGGGGGTCCAGCTTGGACCCTCTTGGAACCGACGCCTGTAGATATGCAGCGGTTGCCGACCCTTCCAGTCTTGAGTTACTCCCAGGTCACGACAGTTTATTGGCATCAGCGAGACCCTGAAGGGTCGTGATGGTTCAGCTTTTATTCTGAAGGAACCGTTGCAGCAGGTGGAACACGTAACAGATGTCGTTGGGTTATTTCGGCTTTAAGAGGAAAGTTACGGATTGGCCACTCCGATGACTTCTCTAGAACGCTTGAAACTCAAGTTAAGATGACGTGGGGCATAGTTTTATACTTTGGATGTTTTGATTTATGGTTGAATCAGGATTTGACACAAAAGGGGATTATACAAGCACCAACAAAACCACGCCTCGCATCAGATCTGGAAGGTTCTGATTGGATCAGAAAAAGGAAATGTGTCATGTGACTTAGCATTACGTTAGATCAGTCTAGTGTAAATATTTAAAGTTATGTTACTTATTAAAATACTATCATAGGATTATAATATCAAGTAATTAATATTCTTATTTCACAGATTGATTGAACATTAGCTTCACATGATTATTTGGACGAACAAAGTTATTTGATTATCATTTAAAGAGAAGAGTTCTGTCTTCTTTATTCTTTCTTGTGCTGTCCGAGGAAGCAACAGTTTAGATAAGAGCACAGAGCATGAGTGGCCTTGGCCCATATCTTGTAGATTAGGCTTGTGTCAGAAACTTGTTTCTGCTTGGGCAGAGCAAATAGAGCAGGGCCTTTAGGTCAAAGATGGACAATTCATCTTGCTACACGGTCCTCGAGGCCTGGAATTGAATAGCCCTGATCTATAGTCTTCTGGCAATGATCCATAAATGGCAACGGCTATGAAACTCGCGGAACAGAAGTGAGTCACTTGTGTGTTTAAAACACTGACTGCAGTACTCAAGTCTGTCCACAAGATCTCATTCTAACCTCATTCTTACATCATGCACCTTAAAGAGGATGAACAAATAAACAAATTTGCAAGTATTACATGTAAAACAATGCTAAAATAGATCCCTGAGGGACACCATCTTTTACAGAATTGAAACTAGATCCATGATTGGTGTTATATATTTAAGTTAAACTACGTTTGACAAATATCTTTTATGACCCAATAGCCTGTATCCAATCATACTTCATAAGTAACTATAAAAGCAATTTAATAAGGACAATTTGATACATCTGGACAAACAATCTTAGTCAAGTGAAATAAAAAACCTAATAATAATAGAAATATGTAGTGTGCAGATAAAATATGTGCTGTTGGCGAGTATCGTGTGTGTGTGTGTGTGTGTGTGTGTGTGTGTGTGTGTGTGTGTGTGTGTGTGTGTGTGTGTGTGTGTTGTACTTACTGAGGACCATTATGAGGTTTTAACCAAGAGTGAAGTCATTTTACTAAGTGAGGACATCTTTGTGGTCCCTCCCTCTTTTTTTAAAGCTTACCAGTTGGTTTTAGAGGTTTGATGTAATTTAAATTTTAGTTAAGTTTAAAGTTAGGACTAGATCAGCATTGGTTATTGTTATGGTTAGGGTATGGGTTAGGCATAGTGGAGTCCCAAAAAAGAATAAGTCAATGGAAGGTCCATATAAGGATACAGAGACAAGTTTGTGTGTGTGTGTGTGTGTGTGTGTGTGTGTGTGTGTGTGTGTGTGTGTGTGTGTGTGTGTGTGTGTGTGTGTGTGTGTGTGTGTGTGTGTGTGACTGTATCATGATGCAGCAACTGAGTCACTGTCTTTGTTGCAGATGGAATCAGTCTGGAGGGGATGGTGGTGCACAGAGCTGAATGTCGACCTGTCGTCTCTGATAACTACATGAAGATTAAAAGGTGAGTCAGCCGTGGAGCTGCTGTCTCACGTGCTGCAGTTCAAAACTTTAAGAGTTTTCCAAGTAATATTCTAAACAAATTACCAAATGTTCACTTACCAAGTTACTCTGAGTGAAATCACAATAGAAACCTCTGATGTTTATACTGTTTTGGGTTTTTTACATAGACAATACAGTTCAGAACTTTTAATTCTCACTGTTCTGCCTTCCAAGAGAAGTCGGACATGTTTGATCATTAAAAAAAAAATCACACTTATGATCATTAAAAAAAAAATCACACTTATGTTCCTAAAGTACAACTTGACACCTATTTTATTAAAACAATACAGAAATAATGTTTTAGAAATTTCTGAGAAGTTAAGTTCTTCTAAAATTGATTACCAATAAACAAAGTTATGCTCTGCTTCCATAAATGTAAATAAAAATACACGAACTTAGTTTCAGTAAGAAGCGTCTGACGACTTTGAGAGAAGTTGCAAATTATTCATAAGTGAACTGAGAGATGATTTTGATGTTTTGTGGTTAAACTGCAACTTGCTGGCCTGGCTGCATGTAAAACAAACCAGCAGCAAAATAAAGCTACCAGCCAGTGTGTTTTAGCAAACGTGCAACAGTTCAGAGCAACAGCACCCAAGATTGCCAAGTTGCTATTCTGTGAATCTATTAAGTCGGCTAAATAATCGCTAATTTTGGCCAAAGAATGCAGACGACTGGTCCACTGTGCTCTTTATTTTCTACGTTATTAGATACTTCACAAGTCAACTCAATAGAGGTTTAGTTTTTAATAATGAATTGAACAGAAATGTTGTTTAAAGTGGCTTTAAAGTGTTTATTTTCCCCGGCGGTAGGGGACAGTACATACCTAAATCACTGCAAGAAAGCAGTACGCTTGTGTTCCAGTAAGACCTTACCAACGGGTGGCCATTAGGGTCAAAAATCCCTGCAGCAACATCCAGCAAGACGACGAGCACATCAGGCTCGCTTTCGTCAGTGGCAACGAGCGAGGAGGTAAATGTGTAAAACAACATTTTTGAACAGCTAAAATTTTGTAACTACTTGTTACTAATCAGTAACTGCATTTTGTCCTCACAGGCTCCCGTAGAAGGAAACGTGGTGTGTCTACTTTGGCATTTACAGAGGCTTAGACCCACTCACCTATATTATAGATTCGATGGTTATGTTGCAAAGCCACCAATATTTTTCAACCACTGGGCATCATTTATTTCATTTTCAACATAATTTTGATGAATATTTCCATTGATTAATGGTAACAACTACACATTGTCTCTTTAAAGCAACCAAGCACACCCACCCAGAGGCTGCACGGTGTCACAGTTGTTACTGTATCCTCACAGCAAGAAGGTTGCATGTTTAAATCCCAGCTGGGGCTTTTCAAGGAAAAGTTAACATTTTCTTCCCATGTATTGGTTTTTCCCAGATTCTCAGGTTTCCTCCTACAAGCCAACAACATGCACGTCAGGTGAAAACATGGGATGTGGCTGCAGCTCGGGTCCACTGTGCCCTTTATTTTCTTTTTAAACTGGTTTTTGTCTCCTCATCATTGGATTACGTTATTCCAGTCAGAGTTGGAGCATGGCATCGCTATAGCAACAGCATCTCTGTGGCAGATGCACTGCTACAATACAACCCAAGGCAAACACGCAGTCCGAATCAGTGTGTGTCTCACTGCTATGAAAGCAGTGAGGAGCAGCACACACTGAAGGAAAGGACTTGGAGGATGAAAGTGTCATTCGCTCGGATGTTACATCACTACTAGATCAGATCCATGCAGAACACAAGAAGGCTCTGTGCTGTTGGGTCCATTTTTAATGTCACTCTTCTACTGGCTGTCCTTTTCTTATGGAAGTCACAGAAAATGGAGGACATTGTGTTCCAGTAGCGGCATAAAACAGTTTCTGCAGGAATTTCACCAAATGGTTGAACTTAATTTGCATCTTAATACAATTATCAAATCTTTGTTTTGTTTTTGTTGTAGTTATTCATGTAGCATACCATAATAGTTTCATGAAGAGAAGTTCAGTCCAAATGGGTCAACCCTAAAAACAGTCTGGAAGAAAAAGGAAAATAGCAAAGCTGTCACTAGATGTTTGGTTCGTTTCTCCTCAAGGCGCTGACAGTTGCCTTTGTGCCATCGGGCTCGCGTGTCAGCTCTGGCATCGAGTTATTCAGACGCATAAACTTTCTCACTTTATTTCATTATTTTTATGCCAGGCTGCAGATCGAGTCCGTCAAGCCTCAGCGTTTTTCCCAGCAGCTGGACAAGGCTGTCACCACCACCTTCAAGCCTGTAGCGAACCACGACTTCAATGTGAGTAGAAACGGCAGCGAGGGCGCCTCCGTGCCCGATGCTGTTCGAGTGACTGAGCCATGTTTCCTCAACGTTATTGAAACTTTTTTGAGACGTCTGCTTGTTGTGCTGTTTTTGTTTCTTAAAGGTGTAGAACACTGAAAAAACATTTTTTAACTTATTTTATAAAGAGTAGAAAATAATCAATTTGGGACAAAACTTTTCAAACAAACCAAAGAAAAACACACGAATGGTTAGACATGACATAGATGTGCAACATTTTGGTATGGTTTCTGACCAAACGGCCAAATATTCAGGTAAATCTAAATCTAACCCACTTCATTGTAAACATCCGTCAGGAAAAAACAGTTTTTTTTTTACTAAAAACTGAAAATAGATGCATTAAGTTGCATCAACGTCTGTTTGTGGTTTCATGCTTTTGCATTGAAATAAAACAACCCAGGCTTGTTTTCTTTGGTGTGATTCAGCAGTGTGATGAGCTCCATGACCTTTTGGAGGAAGTGCGTTCACTCACGGCGGCTTATAACGACGCTCTTTAGTCTGCTTTAGTTCATCTGTGTGTTAAAAAGAAACGAACCAAAGGGAAAATGGACCAGATGACTGGAAACTGAATGTTGGATTGAAAACCTGCTGTTTGATTAGTCAGACACTCGCAGGGTTGCATCTGTCACTGATGGAAGTGGTTTTTAAGGTGGAGTACAAGAAAAAGAAGAAGTCCGAGGGGAAGATGGTGAGGGCTGAGCGGCAGGTGGTGTTGGACATGCTCTTCGCTGCCTTTGAGAAGCACCAGTATTACAGCTTCAAGGAGCTGGTGGACATCACCAAACAGCCCGTGGTGAGCAGTGTGCACAAATACCTAACACACAAACACACACTTAACAGTATAAGTGGAAAGACCCAAATAAACAATACACCTGCCCACTATCCACCTTTCTTTGTTAAATTTGAACAAATCGCCCACAACGTGACGTCCGTTCCTATTCACACTATCTGTTGTGGCTGATACTTGGGACCGCGTGTGCACACGTGCACAAAGGCACACACAGGAAGAATCAATACAGCGCACTGGACTCGATCCAGCTCTCGGCAAACAGCAATGTGTAGGTGCAGATGAGACCTTGAGGCCCTCTTCCCCCTCTGATTGCCGCTGATTGCATAACTATCGGCTGAGTGGGAGTCAAACGCCCCGATACACACCACACCGTCATTTCTCTCCCAAAGCACTTGGCCAACACTCAAATTAACTGAACTGAAGTAACCAAAATTCCCATTATGAGAAGTTTTGATGCCTGTTCATCAAATGGAATGACTTCAGCTTTAGAAGCACAACAGAGACACCCTGTGGCCACTGTGGGGTATAACAAGTGGTGTTGCTTCCTCAGCTTTCTCTGTATAATAAACAAGGTGGCTTTCTTTCAGATTAATGTAGTTTAAATATGAAGTGTAGATTTCATTATATTATGGCAGGAAACTGGCCCGGGGGAGATCTCACATCACCAGTCAGAAAGCAGAGAGGCTAATTAAACATCTCTTTCTAACTGGCAGTGAGCACATAATCAGAAAGCTTTCAGTCTATTAAAACTGAGGTGAGCACACTGGAGATTCGGCCACATCAGGGGGGGGATATGGGTAGAAAAGTGCATTAAACAAAAGCTTGCTGGGCTGAGTCATTCCCTTTACTTTTGTCTTTTAGTAGAATGACTCATTTTTTATTTCTCACTGATAAATGAAAAAAATAAACGTTTATCTTTACGTTTTAACAAAGTTCAACAGAATTTTCAAAAATGAAATCCTAGATTTTAAATATTGTAATACATTAAAGGAAATAAAGGAAACTGCTTTCGCCTTAAAGTGCGACCCTTATAATTTTATAGTTTTGTTGGCACCCTTTAAAACTCTGGACACATTTTGGGATGCCATGGCTGTGTTTTATGTTCAGTGTGTTAAAACTGAATGCTTCTCCTTCTGCAGACCTACCTAAAGGAAATCGTGAGGGAAATCGGGACATGCAATCGCAAGGGAGCGCACAAAAGCACCTGGGAACTGAAGCCAGAGTATCGACTCCATCATTCTGGTGAGGAAGAGGAGGAGAAGCAGAACACCTAGAGCCATTGATGGTTCTGCGAGGCTCATCAAATGTGACAGAAAATAAACTGACACTTAATCCTTTTTGTTAGAATTTGTTTTATGTTGATATTTTACTAGATTCAAGCATTATGTTTCATGATAGAGTTCAGGTATCCTGAGTTATTTGGTGTCTGTGAAAATTATTAAAAAAAGCTGGCAAATCTGAAGTCATTTTGGCTGGATCTGTTGGAAAACAGTAGTTGGAAAATGTTCTGTCTTTTTTGGGCTATTATTTTCCTGCAGTAGGCACTTCTCAGGGAACAAAAACATAAGTGGAACTAACAACAACAACAGCAGCAGCAGCAGTAGTTCTGTTCCAGAGGGTTCTCCAAAGCTGTGTTGCAATTAATCAGACAAAATAGTCACACTTCACAACTGCAGAGCTGAAGAAAACAATGATTCAAGCGCCAAGTGGCTTCAGTCATGGTTCAACTCTACCACTGTTACTATGGCAACAGCCTTAAACTACATCTTCATTAAACCACACAGGGCTGAGGTGTGTGTGTGTGTGTGTAGTCAGTGGGTGTCCAGTTGTCAAATGGCAAACGCCTGATTAGGATGAGATCAAAGTCGAGTTCAGCCTCTCTCCTGATTTACCCTCATAATTAGCCTTAATATTAGGAGACGATAAGTCCCACATGTACACAGTGATGGTTTAGTGAGACAACAGTTAAATCTCAAATGAACTAAACCACTGCTGCCTCTTGTATGAGCTGAATACCCACAAGTTCTCAACAGAAAACACATGACAGGTACTATGGTGTGATGTATTTTCACAACCCACATGTTTCTTTACCGTTTCATTAACTTATGTCGAGGCGTACAATTACACATCACCCCCCTCATCCTCTAAAACAGAGAAACACATGGAGACAAGATGGAAAAAATATTGGTGGTTCATATCGGCCCGATTTTATTTATCGGACTGATACCGATATGTAAATAAAAGACTAACACCGGCCGATACCGATATTGATGCTGATATATTGTCCATCCCTACTTGAAACAGCCCTGAGCGTGGGATGGTTTCAAGGTGATCTGAATTGTGTCAAATATATAAATATTAGATGCTTACAAATTGTTTTAAAAGGTAACGAATCTACTTGCATTTTGTTTTTCAAGAGCTTTCATTTCCTTTTTTACTTGATTATTTTCCTGTCTGTCTCTCTTCTTCCTGCATCTCCTCTCAACTTTCATCCACACCACCTCGTTTAAAAAAATACTCTGTCCACACGTACCCGGATAAATACGTTGTTAAGGACATGCCAGACCTGTAGGCGGCAGTACGTCCCCCGTTCTTAACCTCGTCCTTCGTCTGTGGTCTTCCGCAAGGAGCAGTAATTCTGCTTGCAAAAACAAACAAGCTAAAAGCGCTTGGAATATTGATAAAGCGAGCGCAGCTCTGAGGGCATCCATGATGTCGGCTAGTGTAAACACAGGTCGCACACGTGATGTCAGCATGTTTTTGTCGCGGAAAGTGACGTTGCAGACCTTAAAACTCCGGTTTTGTCTGTCCACACGCAGACACCCAAAACGGAGAAAACGCAGATCTTCACTTTGGCCGGAGTTTTTAAAAAGATCCGTTTTCGTTTGGATGACAGGCCAAAACGTAGAAAAATATCTACGTTTTGGCAGATCCCCGGCTACGTGTGGACAGGGCCTTCGTCCTCCAGAAAAACTGCTGCCTGGCTATCTACTTTTTCACCTCATGAGTTACATTTGAACTAAACTAGATCAAAGGCATCTACTGACTGATGGGTAGAAACAGGAGGAGATTTTTGGGCTCGCCCTGTGTACGTTGAGGGCTTCAGGGGAGCCTGACAACATTTCAGGAGAAATTAATATTAGGAATACTCCAAACAACTCAAATGATGAGGGGGCAACCTTGTCGATTTTCAAGAAACCCCTGAAGCCCAGCTCATCAAAGAGCATCTTCTAATGGTATTTTAGGTTTTGTTTGAAAATAAGTCCAGGACTACAAATGCTCTCACGAAAGTGACGTCATCGAACCCGACACGGAGAAAACTGAGGAAAAAGGGCTGTAAATTCAGCAAACTTCCCACAGTAGGAGAGAACCACCATAAATGTGGTCATTTGGTAAGTAGCAGCTACGCTAGGGGAGAGGAGATTATGTGGTGATGTCACAAATGCGACGTGCCAATTTCTGGTGTGTAGTCCTGCTAATTACGAACTTTGACAAGCTGATAAATCTCAAAGTACGTGACTGGCGTGGTCAAAACACCCATCATTAGTTTTCATTTAAATTGCAGTACAACATATGTGCGATCCAGGGCGTTAGGCAAAGCGGATTAGAAAATAACGTTTTTGGCCCCGTTGACTTGCTTTCATTTTTTCATTCTTCCGGGGACCCATGGTGCAGAAGTGACTTATGGGCCATTCCCATCTGTACCGGGTCGGCCCGGGCCGGGTAGCGTAGGTTGTTTACATATCTGGGTGGCCTGGTATTTTTCCGGGCCAACCAAGGCTCATTCTCAGCCCTCTTCTCGAGGGGGTCTGCTTCAGGCCGACCAGGGCCAACACACCCACTGCTGACAGCAAATTCACACCTTCCATTAGAGCAAGCCTCTGATTGGTGGGTAGAATCAGCCCACATGGGCTTAAGACAAGGATGTGTGGAATGAACCGGGCCAGGCTGGGGCCGACTGGGGCTACCTGGCCCGGGCCGACCCGGTACAGATGGGAATGGCCCATTAGGTTCCCTATAGCATGTGTCATGAAAAACCATGAAAAAGTGATGGTTACAAATAATAGAGGGCGATGGTGTCCTGCTGCCTGCAGATAAATGGAAGTGATGCCACCAACATCTGCAGTTGCTCTGACAAAGGTAGCAGCGGACACCGAAACATGCCAGCAAACGTAGCTTTATTGTGTGATGAAGAACCACAAAAAAAATAAATAAATACCGGCCAACACTTTTAGAAAGCTTTACTATACCTTGTGTCATGAAAAGGTGATAAAATATTCGTACTATAGCACGGGTCATGAAAATTAGTACAAATGCAGGTGTCATGTATTTGAGTAAAAAAAAAGTCACTAATATATTTTCATGACACGAGCTATAGTATAACCTTGTAAAACCTCTAATTTCCTCAAACTCAACGGCAATAAAACTGAACTTCTTCTTGTTGGCACTAACTCCACCCTCTCAACATCTGACAGCTTTTCTTTAACTATTGACAGCGCCACAGTCTCCCCCTCACCTCACGTCAAGAGTCTGGGTGTCATTCTCGACAGCTCACTTTCTTTTCAGGCTCATATTAATAACTTAATTCGGTCAGCATACTTCCATCTACGTTCCATTAACCGTCTCCGTCCCTCACTGACCCCTCACACTGCCGCCATTCTCGTCCACAGCCTCGTCACCTCCCGTATCGACTATTGCAATTCACTTCTTTATGGTCTTCCCAACAACTCCTTCATAAACTGCAACTGGTCCAGAATTCAGCAGCCCGTATTATCACCAGAACCCCTTCCTTTCACCACATCACGCCGGTTCTCCAGCAGCTTCACTGGCTCCCAGTGAAATTCAGGTCCATCTTCAAAATTCTCCTCCATACCTTCAAAGCAATCCACAACCTCTCTCCTCCATATATCTCAGACCTTATAAGTATTCACACCCCGTCCCGTTCACTCAGATCTTCTTCTTCCATCCATCTTGTGGTTCCTTCTGCCCGTCTCGCTACCATGGGAGCAGAGCTTTCAGCCGCTCTGCTCCCCGTCTCTGGAACTCACTTCCCCCAGACATCAGGAACATCGACATTTTTTCCCTTTTCAAAACAAAACTCAAAACACATATGTTTAAATCTGCCTACAACCTCTGATTTTATTGAAATGTTTCTCTCTGTTTTTTCTTCTTTGGGTTTTATTATTGTTTTATTGTATTTTATTACGTGTTTTGTGTAAAGTGACCTTGGGTGTCCTGAAAGGCGCTTTTAAATAAAATGTATTATTATTATTATTATAAAACAATTTCCATGGAAAAACAATTCTCATTTCAGTTTACAAATATTTTCCATGTTTGTAATAATATAACCTAATCTTATTTTAATTTACAATTCAATATGACAAGTAAACAAGTTTCTAATGACGTTTTTTTTTCCAGCTCTGATTTTTCTGTGTAAACTCGGTTTTGGATGAGATGCAATAAGATTTGTTCTATCTGTAATAAACGCCTTTGCCACTAGATGCCAGTGTTTCCTTTCTCAGAATTTTTCATTTTCTTTAGATCCATCTGCTTTGAAAGAATTTTTATATTTTTCAGTCATTAGATAAAAATTTAAATGTGCTTGAAAGTTATTCTTACTGAGAAATGAACATCGGTTGCTTTTTATTTAAATGCATGTATGGTTTTCTCAAGTTTTGGTTCAGATACTGTTTGCAGCTTTTTGAGTCTGAATTTTTCTCCTTTTGTTTGTTTCAAATAAAAATCTTGCAGCGAGTTGCTTCATTCTTCAGGGATCTGTAAATATGGTTATTTTTTACACCACAATAAAGTTCAACCTTAGTTCATGGGAAAATGTAACATCACCACTGGAAGTCCTGCATAATGCTTCCTGAGAGGAAGCATTATGCAGGACTTTAATCCTTTCATCTCCCTTACACCATGGGATAGAATCGTGATTCTGGAAAATGGTAATTTGTATCTCCGCAGGGAGTCGAGATGACAAGCCGTGGGCTCTACTGTGTTTAGTGGAAAATAAAGGTTGGATAATCTGGCTTTTGTTTCTGTGTTCTGTCTGATTTGGACACCTTTTTTCTCACTCCGCTGTGGCCAAGATCATAACTCAAACACGGTCTTTGGTAATCAGATTGTGGCCTTTTTGTTTAGCGGTCGGCCCGGCGTCAGTTTGGTTCCGTTTAGCATCGACCAGTTTGGTTGTTGTCTGATTGATGTTAAACAAACCGCATCCACAACCACAAGAAGTTGCACAAACATTATGCTGAACCACAAGGACGTGAAGCAAACACTCTTGTGATTTCAGGCTTCACTTAGATCCATTTGTATATTTTTGTTTACGGAAATTTGCCACATTTACCTTTTAAAAAATCTTGTACTTTACAATAAAAACAAAAAACTTAAAAAAAAGGCATGTTGAGTCTTGCGAAGCGCCTGTAAATAAGATGTTTCATTTTTGTCCCTTTTCAATATTTTGGCTTATATTTTCTTACCAAGAGGAAAAAAACAACTTTGTAGAAGCAGTAGCTGTAAGAATCTATAAGGAAACTTTAACATGGCATTGAGGCTCTAAACCACCAACATGAGAATTTGTGGTGTGTTCAAGGTCAGAAAAGGAACAACCCATTTATCCAGTAGAACTTCTCACCAATCTGCTGTTCCAGGGAATAGACGTGATTCCAGGGAAATCTCTGTCACTCCCAACTAAACGATCCTCGAAAGCATCTACCCCACAAGATTCCTGTCGGAGCATCTGTAGCCCAGATTTCCAGGGAATGCAGCACTGGAAAAACCACTCGAGCTGCAGGATTAACTGTGTGCAAACTAGTTCAGGTGTATGGTGAGCCCTGGAGCTGTTGAACAAGTCTTCATTGCCAGGAAGATGAGGTTCTGGAGCACTTCTTTACAAGTTGGACATCAAATATAAAGATGGTGACTTCATGCAGGAGCAACTTGGTAATCATAACTTAATGAGCACAACTGCTAGTGGACTGAGTCATGCCTTACCAGGCCAATGGATTAAATGAAGGTTAATTTTCTGTAAATATTTAGAATTTTGTCACAGCAGATGACAACTAAACCTCTACACTCTCTGGCTTCTCATGGAGAAGTCTTCTTCATCTTCCCAGGGGGTCGTCTCCAAGTGCAACACATGTAAAGGACCACAAGAGGTAAAAACCAGGATGCATCCTAACCAGATGTCACCTCAGCTAACTCTATTTTCTTTCCTCTATACTGAAGAGAAATCCTTGTCCTTCATTTTCACCATTTAGATCCAGGACCACATTCTTTCAGTCACATCAAAAACATCAAGACCAGATGAGGTTTGGAGCCTAAAAGGTTCAGTACATCTAAAGCTCTTCTAAATCACATCAGAGCAGGTCACTTATCATTCCCGAACTTCTAGATCTGACTCTGTGAAGTATGAAGAACTTCTCTGGGATTCATCGCTAAAGTTTGCTTATGACTTGTCTGCTCACAGGTCAGATTGGCCTACGAGAACCTGGTCAGAGGTCAGGCATAAGGAGAAAAGAATGATGCATTTGTTTAAAACAAACAGGCAACAGGAGGACGACATCCCTCTGCTGCAGCATCTGATCCATTTTTATAAGTTCATTCAGAGAAATCTGAAAGGTTCAGCCTTTTAGGAGCAGAACTGACTTTGGCGACAAACGAGCTGGCTCCTAGTGCATTTGGTTCAAGCCGATTTGTGTGTTGTGTTAAAACTTGGAAAGGAGCGTTACTTCAGAGCTTTATTGGCTCCATCTATTTTCCACTTCATGCCATCTCACATTATAGTCTTTATAGATGAAGTGGAAAACCGAGTCAATGGAGCCAACTTTTAAAAGCCAGAGTGGCTGGATGTGTGTTGTTGAGGTTAAGAAACAAAGCATAACAACAATAATAAAAATAAACGTGACAAACCGATCAAGCTTACAGATCCACAACCCCAAAGAGACGGCACTTTTAATAAAAGTGTTCATTACGCTAAATGAAAGGATTTCAAATCAAAACAAGATTCATGCAATAACTGGACAAAGACCAAGACTTTCAACATCCTGAGTCTCCATCAGCAGTTTGTACCCCCACCCCCTCTCCAGTCAACACACCTCCGTGCTCTGTAACAGATGGCTGCAGGGGTCACCGAGGGTCAGCTGGGGTGGGGGGTTGGCTAAGTGAGGTTGGATCAGGGCAAGTGAGGTGATTCCGATTGTTGTGACACCCTGTCAGTGTCAGCATGCAGGTGGGTGACTAACACGTGGCCTTCAGGCTCCTTAACCACCCCTCTCCAGCCCAACCCCCAAAACTCTGCTTTGGTTATGGGAAGAAGAGGGGGATTTGTTTGTCATCCTAAATGGGACAAAACCAACCAACCAGAGGGAGGAAAACCAACAAGTTAAGGACAGGCGAGCAAGGCGATGAGGGGAAAACATACAAACCCAGAACGGAACCATTCATCCATTCTCCTTTTCCAAGATCCACCGGGGGAGGTAACAGGTTCAGGAGAGAAATCCAGACCTCCGTATCTACTTCTTCCTGGAGGATCCCAAGATGATCCCAAACAGGATGGATATAATCCCTGGGTCTGCCCTGGGGTCATTCTGGCGTTGGCTAATTTGTGAGCCATCTTTAATTATCACGGTGACTTCAAATCAGTCTAAATCATTTATGAGCATTTCACAAACACCCACCCACAGGAGGTATTCCGTTATAGAAACACACACACACACACACACACACACACACACACACACACACACACACACACACACACACACATTCTTCAGATGCGATGGTTCAGGTTGTGACCGGTACCACCATGTTGTGTCTGAGCTTCACAGACAGAACATCATGTTTTCACCTTCATGCTGCAGAGGAAGAGCCTCACTATGAGCCCCCTGAGGTTCACTGATTACCGGATCGCCGCTGGCTCCCTGAGGACCTGCTGCTAAAGCAAACCAAGAAACGTCTGCAACATGGATGTTGGTTTGTGTGAACTAGCGCACATTTGCACGTCACTGATATCTCTGGGAAAGTGCTCTCCCGCTCAGGCCGGATCTTGGCTGGCAGATGGATTTTCCTGGTGGGACCGTCGGGATGTGTACGTCTGCGTGGAGGGGGCAGGATGGGATCATGGCAACTGTAAACAATCACTGGTATCAAGTTCTTCTCTCTTTCGACATCTATTTCCCAAGTTTGTTGGATGCCAGTGCACATGTCTGTCTGTGTCTGTCACCACTGGCCAGCAAAGTCCCGTTTTTACTAAAGCAACAGTTATGATGAGCAGTTTAAAGCAGCAGAAAACAGGCTTTAATCCATCTGAAAACATTTGCATGAAGCTATTTTGTTCTGAGGCAAAACAAACTTAATGCAGTTGAACATCTGGACTCAGAGAACCCAAAGGTTCTGTTGCTTCAATCGATACGACGACTTATAATAATAAAACAGCAGGAATACTAATTTGGAATTTCCCACAAGAACATTAACTGTCTCACAAAACGGAAACGCTCCATCACTGCTGTATGGGCAATAGCTCCTCATGACACCTGTTATTATTGCAGCTCGTATCTAAAGACATACGAGGAAGGAGCGTGCCTCTGATAGTGAAAGCAGGCGTCATTGTCACGTTTACACTTGTGCTGTGAGAGGAGAGACCCCAGCATGAACCCAAACCACCTGCTGGTCCAGCTTCCAGCTCCCAGTAACTTCGCATTCAAACTAGGATAACCGTCATTATTGCCAGAGTTTAATTTGAGGTTGTCTTATTTTGAAAGGACGCGTTCCAGTAACTGTCTGCTAAGATCTGTCAACTCACTTGTTTAGCTAACTTGTTAATTGTGTAGGGTTTAGGAAATTGAGTGCTTTAAGAGCTCAATAAATATATTACCTCTACTTAAGACCAATAAGCTGTGATATTCTGTTTAAATATAGAATCTCAACTCTGCGCTTGGTCTTTACTGTGTTTATCAGAAGATCTAGGATTCTTTATTTATAAGGGGATTGTACACACTTTGTCAGGTTTATAAAAGTAAGAATTTATTTTACCAACAATTAAAACATGACAAGTTAACTAAACATTTACTGTGATGGATGGAACTAGATGTGATGTATGAAACCTATGTGTGAATGCGGTGTTAGTCAGAATTTCCGTATCTAGGAGAGCTGAGTTCTGGATGTAAAAGAAATTGGTTTGCGTTAAGCTATGAAGTTGGTTGTTATCAGAAGCACATCAGTCGCTATCTGTGTGCCTACTTCACCCGTTTTCGGACACTCTCGGTGGAACCGAAGGTCAGAGAGGTCGGCTGACCTCTGGCACCGAAGGGCTGTAGAATATCGTGGCACCAACGCTTCAGTCCAGAGATGTCTCGGGTCACGGCAGATGGACGGAACCGCGCGTCTGGGACTCTGAAGGAGTCTAAATATCAGCTTGTTCTGCAGGAACTGTTTCTGTATCAGCTTCGCAGGTTCAAAAAGATTTTGACGATGCGTTAAAATCTTTGATGGTTAAAGAGGTATTGCTTCAGGTGGCCGGTCTGAAACTTTCTCTAGATTTCAGAGATCACCCGAGAGTGATCCAGTTTTGATGTTCTCATGTTATGATTTGTGTAGCCAACCAAAGGCTGACAAGTTGAGGAATGTTACCAAGAAACTCCGAAACACGCCCTCTTTGATATGGATGCTCTGACTAGGGTAAAAGACTATTTATGTGTCACGAGTTCAACTTAACCTTACTTGTTCTTGTGTGAGTGCAAATGGTGATG